TCCAAAAATTTCCTCTCCCTCGCGTCCATCCAATTTCTCGTTAGTTTCAACACCACGCACGTTTCCTCGACAGATCTATCGTTATCGGGCGATAACGATGTCAAAGTGAATCGCATTCGAGCGTTCGAACGAGCTCACCTTGTATAGCTTGTTCATGAAGAGAGCACACCGGGGCCACGAGGCCGCGCACGATTGCATTCTGTTCCGATGGAAACTCGTCGATCGTGACTAAAACGTGGACGACGGCCACTGTATTTTTCTTTTTTCTCAACCTCTTATTGTTACACAGGGTGGAAAAAAAAAGTTTGTCCGTGGCTGTCATAGATGAATTTTAGACCTTCGATTTGATGAAAATACATGTAAAGAATCTACCGCAAAATTGACCTTGAACGAATTGACCATGAATTTCAACATCAAATTTTCTTGTTTTAAATATTGTATTCCACTCATAACGAAACTTTTCCAAGGAACCACAGGTCGCAATCTAATAGTTTCTTTTGAAAAATGGCAAAAAAGTTTCTCAATCATTTAACACTGTGGACGCGTGCGTGCTAACAGCGACTTTATAGTTTCGAACGCATAGATATCTATTTTACGTAATTTTCGTAATTAGGTTGATTAATGACATTAGATTTGTCACAGTTGTAGCATCAGTGTGAGTCTAAATAATCAACTGATAAAACTAACCGTTAACATTATTCGAAATATAAACATTACGTAATAGAGGCGTCCAACTATAAAGTCGCTATTAGGACGCACCCGTTCGTAATATTAAACGATTTGAAACGTTTTTGCCATTTTTGAAATTCATGGTCAAGGTCAAGGTTTGCGGTAGATTCTTTACACGTACTTCCATCAAATCGAAGGTGTAGAATTCATCTATGATAGTTACGGATAAACTTTTCCACACTGTACGTTTTATCGTGCGAAAGGTACAACTGAAATTAGTTGTGCTACAGTTACAGGCCCGATTTATGGCGGCGCACAGATCAAGAGACGACTGGTCATTGGCAAATGGATCGCGATCAAGAAAAATAGAAAGATCGGTGCCGCGTTTGCATCAATTAAACTCTTTCCTTAACAGGTGGAAACAAGGTTGGAACAGGGTGAGTTGACGCGACGAGATTTTCACGAGATATTCTCGGCTGTTCGCGCTTTGAGTAATCTGAACCGGTCTCGTGCTTTGCCGGGACTCGTTCCAGGAAAACAGATCGCTTAAGCCGCGAATGAAAAATAAGGAGACTCGTCGAGGAATCTTGGATTTAGTCGTTTCGCGACTGTCTGGAAACAACGCCTAAAGGGAGAGAGAAAAGTTTCAGTTAAAGAAGGCTTTCCCAACACTCCGTACGATCAGAACCGCTTTATTTCTCAATTTCATAAATAGCTCTCCTCCTCGTTTCAATTTGGAACGAGTGAAAACGTTCGCAATGCTCGACCAAGACGCAGGCAAACTTATTTTTTTAAATCGGAACTCCGATTTTAGTCACGTTTCTTAGTGACTCTACTCGAGAGCAAATCAACTGCATTTTCTCATTTAATGTGTAGTCTGACACAGACGTGGGCAAAAAATGGCGAGTGGAGGCAGAGAATTTGAGAACTTAAGCGGAACGCGTAAGCCCAATTCACGGACAAAAGAACGATTTTATCAGAAAGCGCGTGTTTTTAACGAGAATCATTCCAACACTCTATGACATTTCGTTCATATCAGAAATTATCTGGCAAACCGAGAAAGGATCGCGTAGAGTCAAGTGCTTGAAGATCACGATCGAATCGAGGGATCGACTATTAAACAAGATGACGGGCTATTTCTCGAGTCGGTTTTCGCGGTGAAAGGAGACCGCGCCGCGGCTGGAATTTAATGCGCGAGCGCAGTCTTGGCCCGGGGAAAAAGAGACCCCAGGTTGCGAGTCCCATAATTCAATTAAACCCGCTGCGTCGGTATTTAATGGGCCACGACGCAGTAACTTCGTTTTGGACTGCAGCCACGGAGCCATCGGCTGGCTCTCGCCTGTCCGATGTAAAAGCGCTGCGCAACGCCCATATTTTTTTCTGCCCTCTCCCTCTCTTTCTCTCCTTTTTTTTTCTTTCTTTTTCTTCCTCCCCCCCCCCTCCGTTCATTTTCTTTGTACTTTTGTTTCGCTCTTTCTGATCGGTCGATAGTGACGCAGAGAGACAGAGAGAGAAAGAGAAGGAAAAGAACAAAACGGGCAGTAGCAAGCAAATCGAAAAAAAAGAAAGACACGTTCCACGGCTCGATCGTGTTCCGAGGAATAAATTGGAATACGGTTGCTACGAGATACACAGCCCGGGTTTCAAACTATTGTTGCGCTCGATCCTACTTCCGACCAACGAACGGAATTCCCGCCTACGAAAACACGAAACCTCCACCCCGATAAAGAAATACAATTCGTTCGGCTCGATTTCGACCGATGGATACCGGCAGCCAATCCCCCACCGCCGTCGACCTGTTGCGAATTTTAGTCGAGTTAGTTTCGTTTCTTTCCCGGCGAGTAGCAGAACGTTGCGTATCGGGAGAAATCGAGCGACGCGCATCTGACGAAGAGAAGCCTCTGGAGACTCTGCACCCAGGGGAGATTACGTTTAGTCGCATGCTTCGGCTGCTGTTGGCACCTAAAGGCGTTTTTGAAATTTGCTTTCGAGGCATTTTTGACGCCTGCAGACCACGTACATGTATCTATGAAAAGCTACTTTACAAAAAGAAATGTGCAATCTTTGCTAAATTTGCTGACTAAAGAACATAAATTCCATCTTTCGCACGATAAAACATACAGTGTGGAAAAGTTTGTCCGTGACTTCTACACCTTCGATTTGATGGAAGTACGTGTAAAGAATCTACCGCAAACCTTGACCTTGACCATGAATTTCAAAAATGGCAAAAAAGTTTCAAATCTTACGGACAGGTGCGTCCTAACAGCGACTTTATAGTTGGACGCCTATGGATGTCTATATTACGTAATGTTTATATTTCGAACAATGTTAACGGTTAGTATTATCAGTTGATTATTTAGACTCACACTGATGCTACAACTATGATAAATCAAATGTCATTAATCAACCTAATTACGAAAATTACGTAAAATAGATATCTACGCGTTCAAAACTATAAAGTCGCTGTTAGCACGCACGCGTCCACAGTGTTAAATGACTGAGAAACTTTTTTGCCATTTTTCAAAAGAAACTATTAGATTGCGACGTGTGGTTCCTTGGAAAAGTTTCGTTATGAAGCAAGTGAAAAATGAAATGAAATTTCTTTGTTACAATTGAAATTAAAAATTCATCCCTGCTCACTTCTCATTGCTCGAATCGAATTGAAGGCGTCTATAGGTGCCCGGCAAACATTATCAACAACAATAAGTAAATTCTAATTCAACAATCGTATCTTCGTATATCATTTAAACGTGATTATTTTACAATTATTTCATTTAATACCCCTGAAATGAAAAGGCGTGGTAATAAATTAATCACAAAATGATTCAAATGCGTAGTGTAACATAGTAGAAGAAGAAAGACCTATTACGAATGCAAGAAATGTAACGTAGGATTATATATTGACCCATATTTCGAATTGTGCCATACTTTGCTGGATCGAACAGGGTGGAAACAGTCGTCGCGCGTGAAATTTCAAAGTCGGGAAGAAATGAACTTAAATTGATCCGTGGCACGACGCGGAAACGCTTGAACGAGAAAGTTGCCAACGCAGGGGGAGAAAGGAGAGAGAGAGAAAGAGAGAGAAAGAGAGAGAGAGAGAGAGAGAGGTTAATATGCAAACGACAGGTTCGACAGCCGCGGATGGTTTAATGCGGCGGATGCCCGTCAAAAGGCCAGGAGGAATTTAAATAAACGTTTACGCCGACACGCCGATTGATTTCTCGGTTCCTCGTTTAAAATTCAAATTTTCCATTAATGAACATCTCGCGAGAGGACGGGCCTCCTGTCTCCTCGTTCCGGCGAAATGAACGGTAGCCGGGGAAACTACACTTTGTCGTGATTGCCGATGAAAAACAGGAGTAAATGTGTTATGTACACATTCGCGAAATTCGTTTAAATAACAATTGAAATTAAAAGATCAAAGACTGACGATGATAACGCTTCTCTAGTGCCTCTCTGAAATGGAAAAGTTTCAGACTTTTTTCGCTTTTTCTTTTGGATAAATGCGAACTTTGATGGGTGAATATTCTATCAATTTTCGACAAAGTCTCCCATCAGCATAGCAAATATCGTTCTCATTGTGTTTTCTATCTTCTTACGTTCCAACGTTTTTTTGATAAAGTGTTCAGTGTATCTGCATAAAAATTTCTTCTCATTCAAAGTAGTTCTGTAGACTATCGTGTATATAAAGTTTGGCCGAAAGAGGATGTAACCGCCCTGTAACTGTAGAGATGGGACGTGAGATTGTTCTGCTTTATAAACCGCTTACGAATATCGAGTTTAATTGAGTACGGTTAATTTATGGGCGTACGGAGAGCGTACTGTTGCTGGAAGCTGTCGGCTCCTGTCCAGCAGCAACTTTGCAATGCCAATAAATTTCCATTATTGCGCGGGATTAAAGGTAATCGGATGAAAAAGTTAAATATTGTCGTACCGCGCTACCGGTCGTTGATATTCTTCCCGCCGCTTTATTTCTGCGCTCGACCTGCCGATTTACAACTTTCCTCTTTACGTCGGCAGAATGCCGAGCAGTACGAGGTTTTCGAAAGTTTTACACAAATTTCAGGATATCTATCTTTATCGATCGATTAATATTGTTGGGTAATATGGTGCATTTGTATGTCGCCATCCTTCGTTTGTTTGGGCTGGCTGCTTGCGTTGTGAACGCATGTAAAAGAGTCTTCAGTTATCAGAGAGAACGTGTGTAAGCATTTAGTAAGAGAATCATGATAAAGAACTTATATAATAATGAAAACAGAGTCAAGTAATCTCTTCGAATGTCCCGCGTAAATTAATCAAAAGAAAAAAGAAATCAATATAAATGTACTGACCTTCGTTGTCGATGGAGAAGATCCCAATACCGTCGCCACCTCTGATCGTGTATCCAATTCTGGAATCGCCCCCTAGCGGATCCGCGTCTCTGGCGCGCACAGTGGTCACTAGAGTGCCAACGGGTTGATTCTCAAACACACTCGCGGACACGACGAAATCGTCGAACAACGGCGCGTGCAGATTCTCGTTCACGTCGACCACCTCTATGATGACCATCGTCTCGGAGGACAAGGACGGCTCGCCCCTGTCCCTGGCGACGATCGTCAACGTGTGCACCTGCCGCTCCTCAAAGTCCAAGCTCTGGGTGGTTCTGATCGTGCCGGACACTTTGTCCACCTTGAAGTAACCCTCGCTCTCCATCGCATCGGACATGAAGTACTCGATGTCGCCGCCGGACGCCTCGTCCGGATCGGTCGCGTCCACCACCGCCACCACCGTCCATATCGGCACGTCCTCACGAATCTTCACCGTGTACGTGGACAGGGCGAAGCTCGGCGCGTTGTCGTTCACGTCGTCCACCGTCACCCGGACCAAAGCGTCCGAGTATAACGGCGGCGAGTCAGTCCCCTTGCCACCGTGATCCTGCGCTCGTATTCTCAGCTCGTAGATCTCCTGCCGTTCCCTGTCCAATCTGCCGAAAACGGTCAGCACGCCCGTCACCGGGTCCACCCGGAAATCGTTCGTCTCGGTCACCAGGGAGTAAGTGACGCGCGCGTTCTCACCGAGGTCCGCGTCGGTCGCGTTCGCTCGCCACACGTTCGTCCCATTCAGCGCTGTCTCCGAGATCCGAAAGCTCGCCAGGGACTTCTCGAATCGCGGCGCGTTGTCGTTCACGTCGAGTATCGTCACCGGCAGCATCTTCGACGCGGACTTCTGCGGCTTGCCCAAGTCGTACACGCTCACGTTGAGAAAGTACTCGTTCTCGCGCTCCCTGTCCAGATAGCCTATGACGTTCAAGTCACCGGTGTCCGGGTCGATGCCGAACACCGAATCGCGATCGCCGCTCGATATGCAAAATACCAGCTTGCCGTTATAGTCCAGATCTCTGTCTCTGGCGCGTATCCTAACCAGGGTCGTTCCAATCTTCGCAGACTCGTTGACTTTGATCTCGCTGGGAAAGTCGACGAATTCCGGCGCGTGGATGTTCTCACCGTACCTGCTCGGCGTTAGCGCGTACTCGTCGTCCTTGGAGGGCATGTTGTTCCTCTCGGCGGCAGCGATCGCTTCGGTTAGCCTACGAGCGACACCGGTGTCCCGACACTCGAACGCGCTGCCCTTATCCGACACGATTGGCGCTTGCAAGCCACGGTTTCGCTTTGCGTTCACCAGGTGCATGTGCACAGGATTCACGTCGGCGAAGTGCGAGCCATCGGTGGCCGTGACATTGATCACGCGCTCGGTCACCTTCACGTCGGCGAGGTCGCACGCGACGGAGAGCACACCACTAGCCGAGTCCAGGGCGAAGCAACCGTCCTCGTTGCCGGAGACGATGCGATAACTGATAATGTTGCCGGCGTCGAAATCGATGGCGGAGACGGTGATGATCTCGGAGCCGATTTGCACATAACGGGACACGTGGCCGGTGCAATCGATCCGCTCGAACTGCGGCCTGTTGTCGTTCACATCGCGCAGCCTCACGTGCAGCTGCATCTCCGCCTGTCGCCGGTATGGCAGGCCCCAGTCGCTCACACGCACGTGCAACAAGTACTCCCTCTTCATGGTCTCGTAGTCGAGCACCTGCTTCGTCTTCACGATACCGGAGAAATGGTCGATCTCGAACGGCACCTTCTGGATATTGTCGATGCTGTACGAGATGTAGGCGTTCTCGCCGGAGTCGCGGTCCTTCGCGGTGATCTTCACGACCGACGTGCCGGCCGGCTCGTTCTCGTCAATCCACACCTCCATCTCCGACTGCTCGAACGTCGGGTCGTTGTCGTTCGTGTCGACCACGTTGATCTTCACCTTCGCCGATGACTGCTTCCTCGTTCCGGCGTTCCCCTGATCCACCGCTGACACCGTCAGCGTGTAGAACGCCTTCTTCTCCGCGTCCAGGTTCACCGCAGTGTACAGCATCCCCGTCTCCGCGTTCACGTAAAACTCGCCGCCCTCGTTGCCACCCACGATCTCCAGGAATACCAACGCGTTCCTCCCTTCGTCCGCATCCGTCACTTTCAGCCGGATCACCGGCGTATTGATCGGCGCTGTCTCTGGCACCTTCACCTCGTAGATCTCGCGGCTGAACACCGGCGCGTTATCGTTTAGGTCCGCCAGGTGGACTGGCACAAATTTGTAGCTGTAACGCTGCGGCACGCCCCGGTCCATCGCGCGCAACGTCAGATTGTAACCCTGAACCGCGGTCTCTCGGTCCAGCAAGTGCAACACCTCGATATTGTACTCGCCCGAGTGCGGCCCACCGGCTGGCCGCACTCTAAAATGGCCAGCCGGGTCGCCACCCACGATATCCAGACTCGCGATCTGACCGTGAACGCCTTCGTCGTTGTCGATCACACGAACGATCGCGTATATGTCCGCGTTCGAGTGTTCCACGATGTCCGGCAGATGGTGAACGTAGATTTCCGGCGAGTGCAGGTTCACCTGGCGAACTCTGATGGTCACTTTGGCCGTGCTGGCTCGGCTGCTGCCTCCTCCGCTGCGAAACAGGGCCCCACGGTCCTTTGCCAGTACCACCAACTCGTGGACCGCTCGTTCCGAGTATCTGGGTGAAATTACGCGCAGCGATTTTTAGGAAACGAGCTTTCGAATGGTTGAGAATCTCGGTAAGAGCTTAGAAATTCAGGCAATCTAGGCGAGTTAGAGATCAAAAGTCAGAGGAATGGAATTTGTTACCGTGGTTGATGGTGAATTTTGAATTATATATAGTGTGGTCTATTTAACGCTAAACGTACCGGCGCTGTATATAACAGGGTGTTAGCAGAAGGGTAGTACCATCGAGCAGGTGCGAAAATAAACGAATAAAACGTTTATTATTAGTTACATTACATTAAATGAACTGTTAAAAGTGTCGACCTTGCTGATGTGTATAGAAACTCGCTCTTCTTATCAGTGAATCATGGACTGATGCCACATTATTTCGTCGCTTTACTTGAGCGAACGCATTTATTATTCTTTCCTTTAGCTGCGAAAGATTCTCACTAGTTTCAGCATACACTATTTTTTTAACAAGCTCCTAACGCTTTCACCATGTCAACGTATTCACGACTGCTGTAGCGAGACATCGTTACAAAACGACTGATACAAACAGTATACTAACAATAAGAGCAGCCGGTAGTCGTATGACCAAAAACAGAATATAAACATTGCAGAAGACAACGAATGAGAAGGTGTAAACGAAAATCATGCTACATATAGGCATGTACATATACATGATCATGCTACATATGGGCATGTAACAACATTCAAACTTGATTTTCTCGTAAACAAAGCTTCAAACCAAAAAATGTTATTCCTTTGTTTCGACTTATTTCACACCATCACTTGCCCGATGGTAACACCCTGTATATAGCTATTCCTACTGTAATTGGTCAAGTCTTTTTAGAAAAGAGATCCAGAAGACAGTGCATAAAATAATTATAAATAAAATAAAATAAGGAGAAAGATTAGATTTCTTTCATTTTTTTTAAACAAAAGTTGATTGAACGAAAGAATACAGAATTGTCAAATCAAATTTTTAAACCGTTTGGCCTGGTGTTAAATCTTTTCGAATTGTGACAATGCAAAAAATATTGTTTGCCTAACATGCATGAGGATTGAAACGCCAATAACTGATAGGAATTTTTTTTTTTCATACAACTATATGTATATTTTTTTATTGTATATTTTTATCGTACAACAGACATATAAAAAAAATGATCTTGAAAATCTAAGTTTTACCAAATAAATTTATTTCTATTGTGATCGCAGAGCTTGGCCAAGCTCTTGCATGAAAAAAACATCAATGATCTTGAAAAAGAATATTCAGTTATTGGACTTTCGATAGCATTCATGTTAAGCAAAGAATATTTTCTGCATCGTTACGATTCGGAAAGATAATAGTTTTAAAGATAGATTTCTCTTAAATGTAAATCACGCTGTATATATATATATATATATATAAAATTACACCACGAAAGTTTCATTGTAAATGTAACGTAACAAAACGGATTTATTTTCGATCGAACCTTTGATATCAAACAAACATCGATATTTGAAAAGTTTTGTCAAACGGTGCACGATGGCACCGAGTAATTTATAAGTGTAGCAATACCCAACGTCGCAACGAACAGAAAAGGAAAAAAGAAGTCCGCTACAAGTTTTATACACGAGTCAATTTTTCAGCTTCAAACATGACACTCTCGTAAACTTCGATCGCTCATTTGAGAGATACTTTGCATACTTCCCGAGCCAACATTCGCCCGTGGAAGCTAATGGACAGCCGCAAAAAGTTCGAGTATCGATCAAAATCTCGAAAAGAATTAACAAAAAACGACTAGGTGGTATTTTCAAACTACTCTCATCCCACGTTGAATCCGAAAGAAAAAAGTAAGAGGAGGGGAGAGGGGAGAAAGAAAAAGGACGAAAGCCTGACAAAGCGGCCGTGCGAGATCCGCCTAAAGCCCGCTCGTAAACGAGCGTTTCGAGGCGTGGATCCGCGAGCTCGTCAAACGAAACAGAAGAGAATTCTCTTACAATAATCGGGGACCTACCTGAGCGGCCTGGTGAGCGTTATTACCCCACTGACCGGGTGAACGGCGAACTGATCGGTCTCCTCGGCGAAGCTGTAATAAATCTCGCCGTTCCTGCCGAGATCGGCGTCCTCGGCTATTACCCTGAGTATGCTACGGTGCAGAGGCGTGTCCTCGGTGATGGTCGCCTCGTACTCGGTCGGATAGAACAGCGGGTTGAGGTCGTTGGTGTCCAGGATGGTCACCACGACCGTGGTGTCTGCCTCCATGATGGCCACGCGGTTCTTGCCGTCGCCTCTGTTCAACGTGGCGCGCACCTCCAACACGTAACGGTCCTTTCGCTCGCGGTTCAACACGTCCACGTTACCGGTTCGAGTCCGTATCAATAGGAAGCAAAAGTCACCGACCGTTCGCTCCTCCGCCTTGAAGAACTTGTCGCGGTCGCCGCTCATTATGCGGAAACGAATGTCGAGATTCGAGTCCGGCGACGCGAGCTTTATGCCCATTCTCACCTCGGGCACCACGTACGTCTTGCCGATCGAGTTCTCCGGGATCGAGACATTGTACAACGGCAGAGTGAAGCGGAACTCGTGGCCGGGAGGGAACGGAAAATCTTGGGTGAAGGAGGCGGACGTAGACGTCGGCAGCGTCGGTGAAAACGACCTGGTGATCGAGCTACTGACGAGGCTGTTGCTATTGCTGTTGGTACTGCTACTGCTACTGCTGCTGCTGCTGCTGCTGCTGCTGGCTGACGATGAGAACGTGGTCGACGCGAAAGTGTCGGAAGACGGGGAACCCGCTGTGGCCGCGAACAGCCACAGCCACAACCATGGCCAGGCGAGCAGCACGCGCTGCTTCATCCTCCTCATCGTCGTGTCGCTAGCTCATCGTCGACGGTTTTTCCCAGTGAAATCCGTCGTTTCCCCGCTTGGACGAGGGAACCGTGGCTTCGTGACCTGAGTTATCCGTCCTTGTTAAACCGGCCGCGCCTGCGAACAGAGAATACGCGATGATGTTAGCGGTGTGAATCCGGGACACGTCCTGGACGGTCGTGCTCCGTCGCCTTTAGGTTTTAAGGGACCCGAGCCTTTAAAGGACTCGACTCGACTCGACTTGTGAGAAAAGCTCAGGATGAAGCGTCAGTCGCTCTGCTAAATCCGGGTTATCCTTGACGACAGCCACTGGCTTCCGCTCGATCGAGCGTGATGAGTAGATGGTTTACCCGAGAAGGGGTTAAGGAAACGGCTATTGACAACGAACACAGTAGGACTATATATCGTCAGGGATGGAGTTCGAGGGGGTCTGGATCGATGCACGCGTTACGAAACACACCGAACCCAAGGTTTTCACCCTTCTCTACTCCTACCTTCGTCGGCCATGCAAAATCAAAGCCGGATCGTTCAATCAACGATCCGACAAGTACGAGAGGTTCTGTTAAACTAAATAGAAGCGGTACGATCGGTTACCCCCTCGTAAATATGACGGAGTCGATCATTGCACTGACCGCCCCGAGGGTACAGCGGACAAGCTTCGTTCGTTTCACGGGAACGCAATTCGTAGCCAAACATCGCAGACGATGAATTCCATTGGAAATTCTAATTATAGTCTCGGTTCTAGGATTAATACGAGTTCGACACGCGAGTTTCGATTAATTCTCGGTTGAGAGCAGGATACAGCCGTGGCAGACCTGTCGCGTCGCCTGATGTATTTATCGAGCTCTTATTTCACCGGCTGACAATTATTTTTTTTTTTTTTTTTTTGAGGGGGGAGGGAGGGGGAAATTTACGAATTCAATGGTCGGGGGATAATCGAAATCGGAAACACGCGTATATCCGCGAACGGGAATCGTCAAACGTGCGGAAAATAACGCGCTTCGATTCCGAACAATATCCGCGGTTATTAAACGCAATGGAAAGTAAATTTGACGTGCCACCGGCTCGCCATTGCGTTCGATTATGCACAAACGATCTATCATTGACTTATCGCGCGTATCCCATGAAATAAAGATTCATTGATCATCTCTCTATACGGCTTTGCTTGTAACGTTAATTGCATCGATACGATGTATTTTTAAACAAAGAAGTTTTCACATCGATTTTTTAACGCTGTCAAAAGTATGATCGAGTGGTGGAAGAAATATTCTAGACAGCCCCGTTCCTGCATGTTTCGTTTCAGAGCGTTTCAAACAACGGATATGTAATAACTACACTGTCTCTTGCAGCAATCATCTTTCCACGGACGTCAATTTAAATGTCATTCAATTTGCGCTTTACTCGTAATTTTTTTTCTTTTCTTCTCTCGCTTTGACAATTGATCGGCACTTGAATAGTTTCGCCGGGATAATTCAATCGTCAGACCAGACACAGGATGCCACTTAATTATTAACGCTGTCGAAGTGTGTGCATCGTTTTTAAAAATACCAGTCGAGATTTATGATCAAAAAACTTGCTATTTTTGTACAGCAGCTCTGCAAGCTCTGAATTCGAAATTAATCGATTAAAATTGTACGAGATGTGGTTTAATTATTAACCTCTCGGTTTTTAATGGTACAGGTCAAGATTTAAAGTTTCTCTTCGTCCAGTCTATAAATTCTCAACTTGAAATCAATCGATTAAATTTGTACAGGATGTGTCTTAATTATTGTCGCTATGGAAACCCCTTCTTTTTAACAATACAGAAATAAAGATTTACAATTTAGTAATCAAAATTAATTACTCTTGTTCGTCAAATCTACAAATTTCCAATTTAGAATTAACCGATTAAATTTGTACAGGATGTGTCTTAATTATTGTCGCTATAGAAACCCCTTCTTTTTAAAAATACAGAAATAAAGATTTACAATTTAGTAATCAAAATTTATTAATCTTGTTCGTCAAATCTACAAATTTCCAATTTAGAATTAACCGATTAAATTTGTACAAGATGTGATCTAGTTATTAACACTCCTAATTTAATTCTTAACTCAGAACAAAATTTATAATTTTGTAATCGAAATTTACCATTTTTTGTTCATTCAGTGTACAAAATCCCAATTTTATCGCTCAGACTTGTACAAGATGTGATCTAATTATCAACACCTCTGATTTAATTATTAACCTGTCGTCTTTAAAAATACAGGTCGCAAAATTCACGATCGAAATTTCTGCGATTGAAATTTACTGTTTTTTCCTTTCCGTCCTACAAACTCCCAATTTGAAATTAATCGATTAAACTCGCACGCTCTTTTCGAGGCAGCGAGTTCACCGCGACGTATCGTGCCATTACACAAACGTTTGTACAGGGAATGTACCGAACGGTGCGGTTCGCCCGGGACGTAGCCAGGCCGGTGAATATTTCGGCCGTGACAGTTTTAGTAACCGGCGTCTGATAACAACGCAAATCGTCGGACCCGATAACAGGCATCGCGATTTCGCCTATCTTCGAACGTTCCTCGTACTCCCCAATCTGCAGTTCCTCCCAGGCACGCACAGGCAGCCGTCCACCGATCCCAACCGATCGATAGATTCGACGACGATGCAGCATCGACGCGATATCGATACACGTCGACTGGGCGAAAAAGTAGCGAAACGCTGCGTTCCGTTTCGAATGTAAACGAACGAAATAGACTCGCGTGTCGCTGACTACTTCATTCGTATCGACCGACGTACAAATTTTTTTTATTTCTCCGACGCGTTGACACGCCGAAAGTTTCGCCCCGGTACGATTTTATCAAACGGAGCACGTTCGATTCCAGCTCGCGAACTTGCAACTCTTGAGTTCCCAAAGCTCTCTTCAGCTTTGATATTCAAATTCTCGATTTTCCCGTGCAGAGCGAGAAACGCTGGGATTCTTTCAATGATCTCTCTGTCTCTCTCTCTCTCTCGCGTTCCCGCGCAATTTCCTCTTCTCCCATTTCCTACGGAGGCACTCGATAAAAACCTTCAACCCGCGGAGAATCCTTCGTTCTCTCTGGCTCTTTTCTGCTCCTCGAATTAGCACGAGCGTTTATTTCCACATAACGGCAAAAGAGCGACCGGTTAATACGCGATCGTTGGCACAGTCGTGTAACAAGCTTCTGAGCTTCAAAGAGTGCAGCATTAACTGCTCAAAGACGCTCGGAAGCGCTGCGAAGTCCGCCGCTTTCGCCTTGTTTCTTTTGCCAGAACCTTTCCAACAGGCTCTGACTAACGTTTCCCTTCGATGGGTAAAAATCGTGGCTGCTAACGGTGCGTTTATCCCCGGTACGGGGCAAAAGCGTTCGAGACAAACCGGCTAATTATCGTGGAGCGTTTCCACACCGCTCGCTGGGTTTCTTACGCGGTGTAAAATCGACGAGATTATCGGTACAGTTACTATAATAAACAACGTCGTGTCGCGCCGCGCGCCGCCACTCTTAAGCCGCGTATCCACTTGCAGTTACAATCGGTGCGACGCATTTTAACCTCTTACGTATCGAAATTTAATTTTCTCGCCCATCTCTTCTTCTTTGCTAAGAGATCAATTTTCGCGGCAAATTAGAACACTATCAATTTACGCGAATTGTAGACATCGATCCAAACGTTCAATGAGAGTTAAAGAAACGTTGCAGCTGATATCAACAAATTTATGAAAACTTAACGAAAGATAAGGTTTTTACAGCGAAACACCCGAAAACATTAATTAACATTAACAATGAAAATGAAATTGAACTTGCAAATATTTCAAGCGACGAAGATGACGAGTTTATGCCAATTGAAAAGATTGATTGTTTCGAATTACAGTATAGCGACACTGAATGAAATTTACTTTTATTTTCTGTCATTTTTTTTTCTTTTGCTAATAAATATGTGTTTCTACAACTTAGCTTATCCTTCCAATATTTTGTCGCGCCACGCGCCGCCATTCTTAAGCCGCGTATCCACTTGCAGTTACAATCGGTGCGACGAATTTTAACCTCTTACGTATCGAAATTTAATTTTCTCGCCCATCTCTTCTTCTTTGCTAAGAGATCAATTTTCGCGTTAAATTATAACACTATCAATTTACGCAAATTGTAGACATCGATCCAAACGTTCCATGAGAGTTAACGAAACGTTGCAGTTGATATCAACAAATTTATGAAAATTTAACGAAAGATAAGATTTTTACAGCGAAACACCCGAAAACATTAATTAACATTAACAATGAAAATGAAATTGAACTTGCAAATATTTCAAGCGACGAAGATAACGAGTTTATGCCAATTGAAAAGATTGATTGTTTCGAATTACAGTATAGCGACACTGAATGAAATTTACTTCTATTTTCTGTCATTTTTTTTTTCTTTTGTTAATAAATATGTGTTTCTACAACTTAGCTTATCCTTCCAATATTTTGTCGCGCCTCGCGCCGCCATTCTTAAGCCGCGTATCCACTTGCAGTTACAATCGGTGCGACGAATTTTAACCTCTTACGTATCGAAATTTAATTTTCTCGCCCATCTCTTCTTCTTTGCTAAGAGATCAATTTTCGCGTTAAATTATAACACTATCAATTTACGCAAATTGTAGACATCGATCCAAACGTTCCATGAGAGTTAACGAAACGTTGCAGTTGATATCAACAAATTTATGAAAACTTAACGAAAGATAAGATTTTTACAGCGAAACACCCGAAAATATTAATTAACATTAACAATGAAAATGAAATTGAACTTGCAAATATTTCAAGCGACGAAGATAACGAGTTTATGCCAATTGANTTTTGTTAATTTATGTGAAATAAATATGTATTTCTACAATTTAGCTTATCCTTCCAATATTTTCTCTTCTTCTACTGACATCTTTTCATTCGCGTGAAAACGAATCCACGTGAAACGGACACTCGGTGCATCTAGCTGTGTCGTTGCGCGCATAATTTCTCACGTTAGAGGCGAAGTGTTTTATCGTCGATTATCCCAGCGGAAGAAAATAAATTTTCCCTCATAAAGGATCCCGGAACGTCGCTGCGATTACCGCGGAATGCCGGTGAATAAAGATCAAGCCAGTTTCAT